CATCATCATCATCATCATCATCATCATCATCATCATCATCAGTAGCAGCAGCGGTAGTAGTAGTAGTAGTAGTAGTAGTAGTAGTAGTAGTAGTAGTAGTAGTAGTAGTAGTAGTAGTAGTAGTATCATTATTATTATTGCGCTTAATAGCCATATTACCGTAGAACACTCAGAAACGCTCTCGGCTTCCTGAGCTGTTGTGACAAAAAACATCTCCATCATAACCTTCAGCCTTCGCCCCCCTACCATAGCAGTGCTACTGACTGAAGTTGTCTTTAGGCCTTTCCCAAAAGGGGGGATATTATCATGTTCTTATGCACAATAGAATTGTAAATGGGCTGATTTGTCAATGTCATTGACAATTTGACAATGACATTGACAATCTTTATTCATCTCGCAGGGAGAAATTTGTCTTGGTCGTTAACAATGGCAGTAGACGTTACAAAAGTTAGACTTAAAGGTGCACTCACGCAAACGCACAACAAGACAGGACATTAGGCCAAGTAAATTCAGATTGAAAGACTTTAGTTTCCTCAGAAACTACAGCCTCTGATTTACCTTTTTAACGATATTGTTTACGTGGTTTTGCCATGTAAATTTGTTGTCCATTGTAATGCCAAGATATTTGTATGAATCCGTGATTTCAATAGTTTCTTACTCATACTGTGCCAGAACAACATAAGGAGAGCGGCTGCTTTTTCTTTTCTCATCCTTACTATTGTCATTTTTCTTCTTCTTCTTTTGTATGTTTGCCGCTCTCTTGTGAACTGCTATTTCCGAGGTGCCTTGATAGTCGAAACAGACTTTGTGCTGTTGAGGCTAGAGAGGTGAGCAGAGTAAGCCTGATTCCTCGTTTGGACTTCTCTGTTGACATCCCCATCCTTTGCCGCTCATATGACCTTATGCAATTGCGAGGGCCGTTAAACCTTACTAAAATGAAAACCTTTCACTGACCAGATGCCCCCGTTGTGAGCCTGGTAGAAGGAACGTGCAAGAAGACCACAACGCCTGGTGAAGTGTCCCAGTGTGTCTGTCGGCTGGACCAACCTGGAAACCCGCCCGGGATCCCCACCTGGTTCAATCCTGTGTGAGTGGGCCTATCCCTTGCTGCTGTTCTCGGCCTCTCTTTCTTGCTTGTTTGTTTTGGAAAGGGGTTGTTCAAATATAATCTTACACCTTTTTGAGGACTGTTTGCCTCCTCCTCCCCCCCCCCCCCTTTTTTTTAAAAAGACTTTTCTTGCATTTGCCTCTTAACACACACCCCCCCCCCAAAAAAATAAAAAACCCCCAAAAAAAATGTTGTGGGCCGAAAGAAATAAAATGGGGGTGGTAATATATTTAGGGAGAATCCGGGGAACAACCCTGTGGCTTTGATCTTTAATACATTGGATAAAAAAAAAAACTTGCATACACACATTCATGCACGGATAATAATATGATATGCAGTTCTACACCTCCACTTAAATATAACAGAGTAATTCTTTCATGCAAAATATTGCTTACACTCTTTCTTACTAATATGGACAAAAATTGAGACTTGTGTCAATGTGAAAAGCGTCTTAATCTATTATAACATAATTGCGTACCTGTGGATGGTTGTTTTCTATAGCCGAAAAAACTACGGAACGTAGAACCAGGAAAAATTACTGAAGGTAGTTCAAAGACCAGGCTAAGTTTCTATCAATTCAGTAAGTGCTTGCATTCGCCTTTAAAAAATTGAAAAATAGAAAACACTGTCGGCCGTTTACGATTTTCCTGTTCGTCATTTCAATGCTGTGTTCAAGACATTTATTATTTCGTTTTCCTTGATATAAAAATTGCTCTTCCGCCGGCCGGAAATAGACAAATCTTCTTTGGGCGCCTACAGTTGAGATGTTACAGGTCGCTTACAGAGAGTTACTTTTCTGTGGTAGTTAGACTTGAAAAATGCATATTTTGTGATAGGTCTAGATCTAGATCTGGAGATATTATGCCACCAAACGGCAGGTCTGATTATGATTGGCACCTGTGCTGTGGCTAAGTCTGTAATAGATTTTAATTTAGAGGCTCTGCTGTGGCCCTGTAGCGAAGAGATGGAGACAGTATATCAGGTGTGTGTGTGTGTGTGTGTGTGTGTGTGTGTGTATGTGTGTGTGTGTGTGTGTGTGTGTGTGTGTGTGTGTTAGCTATCTCTATTTAGATGAGAATAAAATCACAATGTCACAATGCCACCCAAATGGCGAGCCATTGGAAGAATGACACCCTTGGCTAAGAGACAAAGGCAGAGTAGATATAGATCTAGATCAGGTGTGAACACTGAAAATACAGAGAGAGAAGAAGAACATGAAGTCAACGAAGAGGAAGAAAAGGATCAACCTGATACTGATACGCTCACAAGAAATCCACCAGCCTTTACATACAATTATGCTGATCTAAGTCTTGACAATACTTGCTCTATTGGACAAAGGACAAATGTGTGCAATCATTGTAATGCTACAAAGTTTCAAGAAGAAACTAAAGGTATTTGCTGTGGGAATGGGAAACATAAACTGGACCTATTCCCACCTCTGCAACATAGAGTAAAGTTCTGTGCATGGGTAATTCCGCAGACTCGGGGCATTTTTTTTTAGCAACATCAGAATGTAGAATTTTGTTCATTTCAAATGACACCTTTTGGATGTCAAAAGATCAATTTGCAAGGTGTGAACCCAAATTTCCGAGTGCAAGGACAGGTTTATCACTTGGTTGGCTCGTTACTTCCAACAAAACATGAAACTGAACAGTTTTTGCAGGTTTATTTTTTAGACTCGAGGGACCAAATGAAATCAAGCATGACAATGACACATGACTACAGTCTTAAACGCAATGTAATCAATATGTTACAAGACAGTCTACAAACACGCAAGAAGTATATCAAAGAAATAAAGACTGCATACCAATATGCAACTCAAAATGGACTTCAAAATTTCATTATATCAATTCATGAAAATGTTAGACCACTCGGTGAGCACGAGAGACGTTACAATGCACCGTCCTGTTAAGAAGTTGCTATTTTTATGCCAAATGAACCAGTTGGGCAATTGCAACTCCTTGGCTCCTTCTTACTGCTGTCTTTCAGCCACAGTCCTCATCTTAAGGTAGGTAAGATCTAACACCGAGCCTTCTCGGATAAGGGCCTTATGCAGTTGCGAGTGCCGTAAAACACTTACCAAACAAAACCCAAAAAAGCAATAACTTGTTTGTGGTGCAAATGTTAGGCTATATGCTTTACAAGCAAAAGATTAGAGTTCAATTCTCAATTGGGGTGTACCATATATGTGTCACGACCCGGTGAAATCATACTCTCGTCAACTTGGTGGCATGTAGAGTTTTTGATATCATCTTAAAGCTTTTGACTTGCTTTGGACGAAAAAAAAGTCCATTTATCTTGAATACAAGTCAAGATTTTTTGCAACTGAAGGAGGTAAGGTTCGCCTGGTTTCAGAGGTAAAATTAGTGAGGAAATGGCCGCCAAACATTAGTTAATTTCCTTAACTTGAGAGTTCGTGAAATCTAAAAATTTACATTTTTGGGGTGCCTTTAATCAACGACTTTCAATTTTAAAAATCCACATAGAAAAGTGTTCCTTAATGGCGATGAAAGGTGTTAAGCCAAAAAAAAAAAGATAAAAATTCACAAACCTGCGGAAAAATGCCAGTTTCTTGACTTTCATTATTTTGACGAGCGCCTTAAATCTATTATCTATTTGTGGTGGCCAAAGTTTGCTATTCAAAAGGCTATTTATTGGATGCATAGATGGACATGCGGTTTTCACCAAAAGATTCTTTAAAATATTCTCCAGATCATGACGCCCTTCGTTTTTTTCAGTTTTGAGACAGTTTTGCTGCAAAAAGCTAAATTTCTTTATTTCGCCGATCGCGTTTGTAGGCGGACGCTTCTGTTTTTGTAATTTGAGAAAATCCGGAAGTGATATTTTGCGAGACGCATTTTAACTTGAGAGTATAGATCTAGACCTTCTAATTTTTTGGCATCTCTCAAGATGTATTGCCCCATTCCAGTAGAGTGTAAATATAGTAGGCCAATGACTTTTGTTGATACTAAAGCACCGATCATTACTTTCATCGAAAAGGGGCCAGCTAGTACTGTGACATAGCACATGATAGCCGTGTTGAACCATAACCCTTGGAAGCAAGGTCAAAGCAGTATGAACTTAAGATCAGATAAGATAAGATAAGATATGACACTAAGTACGATAAAATAAGATAAGAAAAATTTGCATCGGCGTGGTAAATATAAATACACACACGCACACGCACACGCACATGTCAAAACGCAGGCAGATACACACCCCCACACACACATACGCGTCTGCACAAACGCACTCACACTCACAAGCGCGTGCACACACACACACACACACACACACACACACACACTTACACACACACACACCCACACTTAGACACACACACACACACTCACACACACACACACACACACACAGACTTAGACACATAAGTGCAAGC